CGGGAGCGGCCACTGCACTCCAGCCTGGGCGACAGAGTGAGACTCTGACTCAAAAAAAAAGAAATGCACTTCATATACAAACAAACAAATAACTTAAATACAAAGGAATGAGAAAAATGTATACTCTGTTAACCCTAGTTAAAAGAAAGCTCGTGTAGCTATATTAGTATCAGACCAAGTAGATTTTGGAGAAAAGAATCTTACCAGGAATACAGTGAGCCATTTTTGAATGATGAAGGGGTCAGTTTCTCAAGAGGACATGACAGTCAACGTTGCATCCCTCACAACAGAACTTCGAAACACGGAAAGCAGAAACTAACACGACTGCAAGAAGAAGACATACCCATACTTACGTTCAGGTATTTCAGCACCCGCCTTGTAATAGTCGATCGAGCATATACACTGCAAATCAGGGAGTGCACAGACCAGCTGAACCACACTGTCTCCAAATTGACCTAATTGTCACTTACAGGACCGTCCACCCGCAACAGCAGAATGGACATTCTTTTCAAAGTGCATCCACAGCATTTGCGAAGACTGGTGTATTCCGCGCCAGAAAACAAGTCACCATAAGCTAAAAGGCATGGAAATTACACAAAGTATGTTATTCAATCACGTTTGTATTAAATTGTGATAATAGCACAATAGCTTAGCTGGAAAGTCCCCAGATATCTGAGAGCCCTACCACTCACTCCTAAATAACTGATGTTTCAAAGAAGTCTGCCTTCCCAGCTTACCTGGCTTGAGTCGATCGTTTCTTCTTTGCCTTGTTAGTAATTTAACAGCTTTTTGTCACAGCACTGAGCACACTGCTGCGGTGACGTCTTCGGCTTACAGTTGCAACAAGTCCCTCTCTGGGATCTGCTGTGGGCGCTGTACTGGGTCCTGGGGTCCCTGACGAGCATCCGGTTTAGTCTCTGTTCTCTTTGTACTTAACAGCCAAAGAGAGAAATAGCAAACAAATGACATCAAATCAGTAGATATAAAATTGCAAGTGTGGTAGTGCCATGAAAAAGCGCTTTGCTGTGAACGGTGTTGGGGATGCGTGGTCTAGGGATTCGACCTTGAGGACCGGGCTTCAGATGACGTTTGCCGGCAGGAAGAGTAAGGAGTTAGAGACGGGGGAGGGGCCTCCCTCAGAGGAAGCGACAGGTGAGCAGGCCTCACGGTGACTGCCCCTCCCGGGGTCCGTGGAAGAATCTGGCGTGGCCGGAGTGAGCGTGGGTGGCCGGCCTCTGTGGGGCCACCGGAGTGCAGGGTGTCACAGCCGCCGGGGAGAGATGGACACGTGTGGGTTCAAGGGAAGCTATCCCGAGATGAGATGGGGTGGGGGGTTTCCAGAAGGGATCTTGACTGTCGCATGGCGATCGCCGACTCTCAGTGGTCCAGGCGTTGAGAGCCTGAGAAGAGGGCCATGTGGGCCTTCGCTGTGAGTGCCCGGCGTCACACCGGGGGGGTTCTGTGCTCGTTGCTCTGCGTCTGCTCAGCACCCCACGACCCCGTGGCACATGTCAGGCAAATGGGCTGCAAAGGAATGAGCATTGTTTTATTTATGAGAAAGTTACATTGAGCCACAGTATAAATTACACGAGTAAAACCTAAGACTGTTCTTTACTTTCAAATTTGAAAATGTATCACATGGGACCTGGGACATAGTTCATCCTTGTACAATATTTTAAAATAAAATCTGCGGGTGACAAGCCAGTATAAAGTGTAGTGACAAAAGTGGCGATGAAACACTTCTAAATCCTATGGACGCTTGATATTTTTCTTCTTGTTAAGGTAGTTCCCACAGTTTTGTTTTGTTTTGTTTCTGCAACACATTTTCACTTTGTCCTAAACAATTCAAGCTTTTTGTCACTAACTCAAAAAATCAGGAGGGAATTTTGAAATCTCGTTTTCTTCCGTTTCTGCTGCCCTTCTTGATTATGCTGAATTACTGACACACACACTTTCTCTCTTCTGTCTCTCTCTCTCTCACACACACACTCTTTAACACTTTACTGTGGGAAACAGTGTTACTGGAAATGGGAACTATTTAGAACCAGTATTCTTCTTTAAGGGCCGAAGCTTGTACAACATTTTTGTTCCCATTCCTTGTTTTATTCTTGGAACGCTGGTGATGAGTAATGTGGTGTTTGGGCAGTGACTCTGAACACGTGGTCGTCAGCACTCAGCATGCTCCCGTGGCCGTGTCTTCCAGGTGCGTGCTGCTGCCTCTCCTGGGAGTGAAGCCGCCCCAGCAAAGCCTGTACCTGCTCGTGGACTCCGTGGACGAGGGCTGCAGCATCGCTGAAGGAGAGCAGGGGTCCAGCAGCCTGGCGGGGACGGTCGCGGAGCTGCTGGCCGGGCACCACGAATTCTTTCCTCCCTGGCTGCTGCTGCTCTGCTCCGCCCGAAAGCAGAGCAGGGCTGTGACCAAGATGTTCACGGGTAAGCACTGCCGCCGCCGTCGTGTCGTGGCGCACGGGAGCGAGCGTCTTTCCCTTGGGGTCGTCGGTGGTCAAAGCGCGGGCGTCATGCCTCTGCCCGCGGTGCTCAGCAGCGCCTCAGAAGAGTCTGTTGGGAAGAGCGCAGCATGTGGAGGTGGTGCATGCCGTTCCTTTTTTCAGAGTGTTTCCCAACGGACCTAGAAGGTTAGGAGTATGTCGTGTCGTATTTGCCATGTATCTGTGGGCTGCACTTAAAACGCGCTGGTGTCATGATCAGCGATGCCGCTCCTTCTGAGTCTGAGCCTCTTAGGAGTAGTGAAGACGGTGTTTCAGAAGTCGATGGCAGTCACTCCAAGGTGCTCTTCTTGGCATAGGGGAGAGACCTCTTGAGATACATCCCTTTTGTGACCCCATTCCGATTGTGCCATCACAGTCTCTGAAAGGCATAAAGGGTATGTGGTCGGCTTTTTTCCTCTACTTTTTTACTCAGAGAATCAAGTTTTGGTTACTGCTGTCATCATGTAAAGCACTCTTCTTTGTCCTGTGGAAAATAATCGGAGTGTGAAGCAGGGGCCTGCCACCGAGTTTGTGGTGCAGTTGGAGGGGTGTTCATCAAGTCCCCGTGGAGTAGTTCTGTGCCTTTGCAGCGGGCGAGACGTTCCTGACTGGGGAGATGGTCCCCCGGCAGGCTGTCTTTCTGGGAATCCCTCGCTGCTGATGGCGGCACTTGCGGTTTTGCACATACTGTTTTTCTTTTGCTGTTCGGGATACTATTGCCGTTGGTAACAGTTTGGGGGCGGAAATTATGACAGCTGATACCCATGTGGTCCGCGGTGTGCCAACGTGGGGAAAGTTGAGTCCTTTGTGGTCTGTGTCGCTGGTCCTTCCTTTCTTTTCTGCATCAGGGAAGTCCAGTATCGTTAGCTTGTTTTATGCTTTCGCCTTGGGTTTACACACCACGCGTTTCTGTAGTTTGCATGAGTGAAGCATGACGTGCATGTGCCATCTTGGCTTTGGCCGCTCACAGCTCCACGACCTTCCACAACTGGCATTCTGCGCTTCAGTCTCCTCGCTTGTCGAATGAGAGTTGTAGTAACACTTTAGCCTAGGGTTTCTGTAGGAGAAACGACAGGGTACGTGTGAAGCGCTTGGAACAGTGTCCGACACGTTGTAAGTTCTTCCCAAGTTATCCTTGCTCTTGTTCTTGTCACCTGAGTCCCTTTCTTCGCAGGCATCCTTTTTTATGTTCCTCTCCCTGCTTCTAACTCCAGGCTACTGGTAACTGCCCAGAAGTATTCCTCCCCGTGAACACATCTGTTACTTTTCTGTTACCCTGTTCATGGACATGTAGATTATTTTCAGTTTTTCACTGTATAAAAAACATGCTGTGAACATGTCGGGTCATGTCTTCTTGTGCACATGTCGGAAGGGTTACATCATAAGCCTACACTTGGAATTGCAAGGCTGTAGGGTATGTATGCTTAGACTTCAGTTGATCTTGCCTAATCACTAGCTAGTGTGCCAGAGGCAATGTCTCCTCCCGCCAGCAACAGAAGAGATCTCCCTTTCCTCCACACTAGTCAGCCGGCTGACTGGTAGTCTGCAGACCAACTCTTCCTGCGTGGGCCCACGCCTGGGACCCCTGATGGGCCTGAGACCCTTGAAGGCTGGTCCTCCTGGAATTCCTGCCATCTGCTTCCTGCTCAGATGGTGCCACACACAGGCCCTGCCCATCCTTCCTGCTGCAGACTAGACGTGTGCCCCCGCCGCTTGACCACTCTCCTCTCAGCCTGGCGTTACTTCCTTCATGGGTCTCATGCTGTTGGACGTGTGACCGTCTGTGTTTTGCATTTACTTGCTGGTCTGGGCCTTTCACCAATAGAGCCTCCATGAGGGCAGGGACATTCCATCTCTTCTCTTGTTGTCTCCCAGCATCTACAACAGACTGAGAGCAGAGCCACTGGGCATGGGCAGCTGCCCATAAGCTCATGGATCTGCACTTTCTGAGCAGATCCTGAGGAGTCAAGAGGAACAGTTCGTGTTCCAATTCCCTTACATACTCCTGTCTGTGAGGTGTTGTGAGTGGTTAAAAACGCTGGGCTGTGTATAAACATTTGACTACCGCCTTTTTGGTTTTTTTTTTGAGAAAGCAGGAGTTTATTAAGACAGAAGAGCTCCCAAGTGGGAGGGGGCCCCAAACAGAGTTGCCCCACTTCTCTCTTGATAGCAGATTTGGAATATGGGTGAAAATGTAAGGATGTTACTTAAAGTGATCAGCATATATTGTAAGATTGCCCTCCAAAAGGATGTATATCACACTATATTTCAGCCTGAAAGTGCTGATTTCTTTTTACTTCCACCAGTATTGAATTACATTTTTTGAAAATGTGTCAATTTTGTATGTGAACAATACTATCTCATTTTTATTTATACTTCTTGTCTGCATTGAACTCTTTTCCCCTTATACTTGTTTTATCAATTGGTCTGTTTTTACTGTGAAACTTTGCTGTCTTACCTTTATGTTTCTGTTGGGAAGTTAGTGATTTTATTATTGATTGTTAAGAGGGTTTTAATTTTATATTCTGCGCTCAGCCCTTTAACACTGTAATAATTATTTTGAACTCTGCTATATATACCTTAATGTATAATCCTTTGCTAGTCTATATTTTTGCTTCTGCATTTAATGATTTTATCCATATAGAGTATTTTTTACTAAATGGTGTGAAGTAAAGCTCTGACTTGGGTAATTTATAAATCTATAAATTTTCTCAGCAGTTTATTGACTTTGTTTTACCACTACTTGGCAGTGTTCCTTTAATTGAGACATGTGTGCATATATGCATGTCTATGTGTTACTTGTCTATTTCTAAACTATTCACCTGTTCTTCTAAACTGTCTGTCAGCAGTATTATCCAAATATCATGTTGGTTTAATCTTGTAATCTTCTTGTGCAGTTACTGCCTAGATGCCTTTTCTATCAATACTATTATTAACTATATATTTTATTTTTATTCCTCCAGATTGACTTAATAGCATATTTTTAAATTATAACCATCTATAATATAAACAAAGATATTATTAAGATTTGGTTAAAATGCTCATTAAGTTAGCAAAAAATTAACATTTAAAATATGCTTTCTTTCTATCTGTGAACATAAATTATTTTTGTTTTCTTTCTATATGCCCTACACATTTTTTTCCTGCTTTTTTCTTATGTTTTAGGTTGAAGTGTATGTGTTTGGAATTAAGAAATATGCGTTTGAGATTAAAATAAACAGGTGCATCACCATGGACAGTAACACTGAAATCTTTCCTGTGCCTGAATCAGTTTTACCTACTTCTGTCTGAGGATTTAACCTTTGGAAAGAGAGTTTTTCTCTTTTCTGACACACTTACTGTACTGACTAGTAGCATTTTCATTAATGGCTTGCTATTTCTTCATGTTCCATTCTTGGTTGGTTTTGTTGGATGAATGTGTTCATTTCCTCGAGGCACTTCAAGCGTGGGATCACACTGTTGAGTTTGTCAGCTTCCTCTGCAGACCTGTTATGTGTCCTCGGAGGTTTCATGTTCGGTTCTGTCGGCAAAGCCACAAGTCGGCACTCCTCTGACGACTCCTCTCTCTTTCCTTCTCCGTGTGTAGCAAGCCCGGTGCGTTCCAGCCCTCTGGCCTTTCCCAGATCATCTGTCTGGATGTCTACGGCTGTCGCTTCCATGGCTGTTGGGGCCCTTGGTGGCTCCTGTCTAGAGTTTGTCATGGAGTCTTTAGAAGGTCACCTTTGGTCTGTACCGTCTCTAGTTCTTCCTTGGTGACGTTAGAGTGGCCCTCTGGAATGCACGTCTGGCCATACTGATGCCTTGTGGAGTTTACTCCGCCGTGTTTTGTTCTGTAAGAGGAGCCCACGGTTGTGTAATGAATTCATGTCTATGCCTCATGGTGGTGTCTCCCTTCAGGGAGTGAAATTAGGGATCCCATTAAAGAACGTGATGTGAGTTTCAAAGAGCTGTAGCTAGCATGTTTTAGGTTGCTTTAAGTGTTATTAAGCTGTCTTATTTTACAGTGCTGAAGTTTTTTGCCATAATCTGGCCAAGTTGCCTTTTAATTGGTTCAGGCTATTTATTGGTGATCTGAGATTTAGTTATTTTAATTTGGTAGTATGTAGGATAATGTACTTTGAAGACAGTGACAGGATTTTCTAATTAGATATCAATATTTAATCTATTATTAAGGCAAGCGTACATCCAAGTCCCTGGGCAGAAAGTCAAGATCATCCTGTGAAAACAAACCTCACTTGTCTTGTCTCCTGTGACTTTTTTTTTTCCTAAGGCACTTAGGGGTCCAGAAAAATTTAGCCATGTGCTCGTAGGAGTATGTAAGACTGCCTAATGACGAACTAGTGTTCAGTATTTCTTCCAGTGGAGGTGCGAAAGGCATAAGCCACAAAAGAAGAAGATGCAGTTCCATCTGTAGCTAGGAAAATGAAATCGTTTTTCTGCTATCAGTATGGTTTTACAGAAAGAAAAGAAAACCGATTGTTATACTGGGTACTGATTGATCCATTTGTTAGTGTTGATTTGTTTGTCAGTGTTTCACATGTACTGCTTAAAGCTATCCGGCTTCTAGGGTTCTTTTCACCTGATGGCATCTGCTTTTCTGTCTCTTCTGTAGGTTTCCGGAAAATAAGTCTAGACGACCTTCGGAAGGCGTATATCGTCAAGGATGTGCAGCAGTATATTCTCCATCGCTTAGATCAGGAAGAAGCTTTGCGACAACATCTCACAAAAGAAACTGCTGAGATGCTCAATCAGCTGCACATTAAGAGCAGCGGATGCTTTCTTTACCTGGAGCGAGTTCTGGACGGTGTTGTAGAGAACTTCATCATGTTGCGAGAGATCCGTGACATCCCGGGAACGCTGAATGGCCTGTACCTCTGGCTGTGCCAGAGACTTTTTGTGAGAAAACAGTTTGCCAAGGTTCAGCCTGTTCTGAACGTGATTCTTGCGGCCTGCCGGCCTTTGACCGTAACGGAGCTGTACCATGCGGTGTGGACCAAAAACATGTCACTGAGCTTGGAGGACTTCCAGCGCAAGTTAGACGTCCTCTCCAAACTTCTTGTGGATGGGCTGGGGGACACGAAAATCCTGTTCCACTACAGCTTTGCAGAGTGGCTTCTGGACGTGAAGCACTGCACGCAGAAGTACTTATGTAACGCGGCCGAGGGCCACCGGATGCTGGCCATGAGCTACACCTGCCAGGCCAAGGACCTGACGCCCTGGGAAGCACAAGAGTTTGCCTTGCATCTCATCAGCTCGAACCTGCAGCTGGAGACGGCTGAGCTGGCCCTGTGGATGATATGGAACGGCACCCCCGTCAGAGACTCTCTGTCCACGTCGATACCCAAGGAGCAGGAAGTGCTGCAGCTGCTGGTGAAAGCCGGCGCTCACGTCGACAGCGAAGACGACCGCACGTCGGGCATCGTCCGCCAGGCCCTGGAGAGGGAGGATTCCATCCGGACGCTGCTGGACAATGGCGCGGCCGTGAACCAGTGCGATGCCAGCGGGAGAACCCTGCTGGCCAGTGCGGCGTACAGTGGCAGCCTCGACGTCGTGAACCTGCTGGTCTCCAGGGGTGCAGACTCGGAGATCGAGGATGCCCACGGACACACCCCCCTCACCCTCGCGGCCAGGCAGGGGCACACCAAGGTGGTCAACTGCTTGATCGGGTGCGGAGCCGATATCAACCACACGGACCACGATGGCTGGACCGCCCTGCGGTCCGCCGCCTGGGGGGGCCACACCGAGGTCGTGTCCGCACTGCTGTACGCCGGCGTCAAAGTGGACTGTGCAGACGCGGACAGCCGCACGGCCTTGCGGGCCGCGGCGTGGGGTGGCCACGAGGACATCGTGCTGAACCTGCTGCAGCACGGCGCCGAGGTGAACAAGGCCGACAATGAGGGCAGGACCGCCCTGATCGCAGCCGCCTACATGGGGCACCGCGAGATCGTGGGGCACCTGCTGGACCACGGCGCCGAGGTGAACCACGAGGACGTGGACGGCAGGACCGCGCTCTCCGTGGCTGCGCTCTGCGTGCCGGCCAGCAAAGGGCATGCGTCGGTCGTCGGCCTCCTGGTCGACCGGGGGGCCGAGGTGGACCACTGCGACAAGGACGGCATGACGCCGCTGCTGGTGGCCGCCTACGAGGGGCACGTGGACGTGGTGGACCTGCTCCTGGAGGGCGGCGCCGACGTGGACCACACGGACCACAACGGCCGCACCCCGCTCCTGGCGGCCGCGTCCATGGGCCACGCCTCGGTGGTGAACACGCTGCTGTTCTGGGGCGCCGCCGTGGACAGCATCGACAGCGAGGGCCGCACGGTCCTCAGCATCGCGTCGGCGCAAGGCAACGTCGAGGTGGTCCGCACCCTGCTGGACAGAGGGCTGGACGAGAACCACAGGGACGACGCCGGCTGGACGCCCCTGCACATGGCAGCCTTCGAGGGGCACCGGCTGATCTGCGAGGCGCTCATCGAGCAGGGCGCCCGGACCAACGAGACGGACAACGACGGCCGCATCCCCTTCGTGCTGGCCGCCCAGGAGGGCCACTACGACTGCGTGCAGGTCCTGCTGGAGAGCAAGTCCAGCGTCGACCAGCGGGGCTACGACGGCCGGAACGCCCTGCGGGTGGCCGCGCTGGAGGGCCACCGGGACATCGTGGAGCTGCTGCTGAGCCACGGCGCGGACGTGGACTGCAGGGACGCCGACGGCAGGCCCACGCTCTACATCCTGGCCCTGGAGAACCAGCTGGCCATGGCGGAGCTCCTGCTGGAGAGCGGGGCCGACGTGGAGGCCGGCGACGCCGAGGGCCGCACGGCCCTGCACGTGTCCTGCTGGCAAGGCCACGTGGAGATGGTGCGGGTGCTGGTGGCCTGCCACGCCGACGTCAACGCGGCCGACAACGAGAAGCGCTCGGCGCTGCAGTCGGCGGCCTGGCAGGGCCACGTGAAGGTGGTGCGGCTCCTGGTGGAGCACGGCGCGGCGGTGGACCACACGTGCAACCAGGGCGCCACGGCGCTGTGCATCGCGGCCCAGGAGGGGCACCTGGACGTGGTGCAGGTGCTGCTGGAGCACGGCGCCGACCCCAACCACGCCGACCAGTTCGGGCGCACGGCCATGCGCGTGGCCGCCAAGAACGGGCACGCCCAGATCATCACGCTGCTGGAGCAGTACGGCGCGGCCAGCCTGAACGGCTGC